TATTCAAAAGATCTTCTACTCCATATATTCTATTGCATTAGATATCTTTTCGTTTGAAAATAGATGTACTAAAACTATATACAAACAGTTAAATGCAAATATTATTATTCCTACTTCTGTACAGAAATGAAATTAAGAGTTCGGCCATTATGGTATAGAGATATGTGTTAAGGATGTTTTTTTACTGTTTGCTATAAGACTACCAAAAGATTCTTCAATCCAATGGCTACAATATAGAATTATCAATAGAATTTTACCTGTTAAAAAAATCAATGCTGTTTCCTATAATATCTTTTCTTTCTGTAAACATCCAGTTGAGACAATTCAACATATTTCTATTAATAGTGAAAAGGTATCCCCACTATGGAGTGATCTTAGCATGCATATTTATCAAACGACTTTAAAAACAATTGGTTTTAATGTAATTAACATTTTATTAGGTGAACTTCCGTTGACTAAAGGTAATAGAGTTATAAATTTTCTGATCATGTATACAAAACAATATATTTTTTTCTTGTCTAAAAAAAAAAGGCAAAATTCCATACCTTCTAAAACTTCTCTTTCACTTTTACAATACATATAGGGTTGAAAAATATATTAAAAGCCAGAATTCGGAAATGCACAAGTTAAGTAAATATATATATATATATATATATATATATATATATATATATATATATATATATATATATATATATATATATATATATATATGACGTAGAAAACTTTTTTTTTTCTTTTTTACATACCATACGCTCACATTTTCTCACTCACTCTTATTCATTTTGGTATATGGAAGCATACTTGTTCTTATATATTATCAGAAAGATAGAAAAAAATACGTCAATATAAATACATTAAAAAAGAAAAGCTTCACATCTTGTAACAGATTATAACTTACAATAACATTGTAAAATAAACATTTCCAGTTTTGCCGGGTATTACTTAACTTGTGCATTTCCGAATTCTGGCTTTTAATATATTTTTCAACCCTATATGTATTGTAAAAGTGAAAGAGAAGTTTTAGAAGGTATGGAATTTTGCCTTTTTTTTAGACAAGAAAAAAATATATTGTTTTGTATACATGATCAGAAAATTTATAACTCTATTACCTTTAGTCAACGGAAGTTCACCTAATAAAATGTTAATTACATTAAAACCAATTGTTTTTAAAAGTCGTTTGATAAATATGCATGCTAAGATCACTCCATAGTGGGGATACCTTTTCACAATTAATAGAAATATGTTGAATTGTCTCAACTGGATGTTTACAGAAAGAAAAGATATTATAGGAAACAGCATTGATTTTTTTAACAGGTAAAATTCTATTGATAATTCTATATTGTAGCCATTGGATTGAAGAATCTTTTGGTAGTCTTATAGCAAACAGTAAAAAAACATCCTTAACACATATCTCTATACCATAATGGCCGAACTCTTAATTTCATTTCTGTACAGAAGTAGGAATAATAATATTTGCATTTAACTGTTTGTATATAGTTTTAGTACATCTATTTTCAAACGAAAAGATATCTAATGCAATAGAATATATGGAGTAGAAGATCTTTTGAATAAACCTTTGTTTACAAAAGATTTCATATATTTTGATATTGCACTCATTAGACTTTCATATTATATGATGGATATTTGAATACCGAATTTCTGCTGAATAATGACATGCGATATACAATTTCCTTCCTCATCTGAAAAATCTTCAATAAGATCCACACCCTTGTCAAAGCAGCTTCTTATAAACGGTGTTTTTGTACCAACTCTGATATTTGTATTATACCATACATGGATGTTCCATGTTGAACTTACTATCAAATGATTTAATAACATGAAGGATAGACTTAAAACATCTTGCCCAAAATAGTTTTGGGGGATTACACATTCAGAGATAAATACCTTTTCAGCCAAGCACATTTCAAAGACATAATAAAATTGCTAATTTCCACCATTTTTATTCCCCCATGCTGATAATCCTGAATTAGAACTGTACGTTTAATATTATCACATTTTGCATTCCAAATAAATTCTAAAATATCTTTGCATAATGATGAGATTATCTTCCCTTTTAGAATAATGAGTGATATGAACAAATGATTAATTTTTGGAATATTTAAAGATTTTACTTGACCAATTGGTGTTAGAATTCTTCATTTCCAATGTTGTAGCATGCTTTTTATTTTTGGAATTTGTATGCCATAATTTAAAATTTGTAATTTGTTGTAGGTGAACTGAAAAGTTAATACCTCATAAGTTAAAAGTTGTAAAGCCCCAGTCGAGTTTCCATCTAGGATGATGAAGGACCTAACTTAAAAACTTTTTTGAGCCTATCCATATTATTTTTGTTTAAGAGTTGTTTTACTTTTAAACCAGATATTTTTAAGAAATAATGTAACGCAAAATGCATACCATGCCTGTGTCTCAAATATAATCACTCCTGGGGTTATTTGGAAGTTGACCTCTTTTGAAAAAAAGGGGTTTTTAGGGATGGTTACTTAAATGCACATAAATTCTGGCTGCCAAGTGGAACACTATATTTGCACAGTGCATATCTACAAATCTTGGAAACACCATGTCCTTGTCCAAACAAAAAATGATTTTGTCTGATATGCCACCTTAGACAATGATGACCAATATTCCAGTAAAGTGGAGGAAGTTATTAGGACCAAACGAATATGAAATGTTGAACATCTAACAGATCTCCTCTGAACTGGACAATCTCAGATCAATGCCAGCAATCGGTAAACTTTCAATTCTTAATCATTGTGAGAGATGAAAACAATAGCAAAAAGCAAAAATTGTGCAAACTTACGAGATGACTGGTTTCATACCTTGAGTGAAGGCTACTGTAGAGTTGTATATTGTTAACAATTGTATCATGTTTTCTGAATACCCATTAGGCCGGCACCTACTGCGACACGGGACTACAGTTTATACGGTCTCATCCGAAGAACAGGATTCCACGTTTCACAGTGGGATTCAAACTTCTGACGTAAGGATCAACTCCCTATTCCATGGCACTCTAACCACTGCGCCACGCAGGCGACATAGGAGCAATGTTACAGAACAACAAACTGTTCGCATTTATCCACGTTTTCATACTCCATTCGTCGCCCGCGTGGCGCAGTGGTTAGAGCGTTTGCTGTAGAGTCGTGAAGTAAGAAGAAGACTCTAAGAACTTGTATTTATTACATTGTAAATAATGTACATATCTTTTTATTATTCATAGGAAGTTCAAACTTTTCAATTGCCAATAAGATATATATGCACATTTTGTGTAACTATTGATATCATGCTAAAACAATTAACTTTCGGGGCAATTTACTCCCTCCCCAAAACTGAAACTAAACTTCATAGGACATTTAAAGATTATGTACATCTGGTACCTTAAATTATGACAAAAAATCAAATGCATTGACAAACTTGTAAAATAAAGTTGGACAATATGTACATTTTGCTCTGTTAAAAGTATGTTGCCTGTCTTCTATTCCTATCACTTTTGGTACAATGGATTTGTTATGGTCAGTTCATGCTAGACTATCTCAAATTATGTTTCATAAACACAGTCAGAAGAGAGAGAGAGAGAGAGTACTTCTCAAAACAATGCATTGTTTAATTGTTACATAACCTTAGAGGCATTGTGTGTTTTGATGACACTCTATTCAAAAGGTGGCAATTTTCACGTTACAGTGTACAGTAATTAGTGTAACCTCATACCGGAAATAATTTTTAAAGGATATTTGACACAAAAAATCTTTAAAATATTCTTTGAAATTAAATCGGATCTGAAATAAATATGAAAATTTAAATGTGTGGTAATTGCACTTTCAACAGAATAAAAAGTATATTTAAATAGATACTGAGAGTATATTTAAATAAGTTAACTTTTTTCATCCATTGCTATTATTTAAAAAAAAATATTAAAAAAATAATTAACATTTTTTTTAAAAGAGGTATATACAAAATAATGCTTTGTAATGCTATGTAATGCCAGCAATACTATGAGTTTGAGAAAGTATTGCATTTCATTACCATTACATGGAATGTAAATTATTTGGCATTACACATTACTAGCATTACTTCGAGTTCAAGTAATGCATTGCAATGCATTAACGCTACATTTAACATTACCCTAAGCCTGATGTTGGTACCATATATTAAAAAAATTATGTACCTGTAAATCTATTGATGATTTTTTTTACCATAGGTGCAAATTGAAAAAAAAATAGTTGAAAGACTTACATATTCAAGAAACAGATTTTAACCTACAACCTTTGAATGGGTAAACCAAGACCACGTGTCCTGATTTTATATCATAATAACATTTGTAGGGGTGATAAGGTAGAATCCCTGATTAGTTATATGACAAAATATGATGTTATAGGATACTGAAAAGTGAAAGTTTTGAATTAAGTTACTGCATGTATGTTATCGTAAACAATACAGTCGCAAAATCTACATTTTCGAAATATATGTAAAAAAAAAGAAAGAAAAAAAGTAATTTGCTTTCAGCAATGAAGGATATCTCTTGCAGTCTATCAGTAATATTTACCTCAAAACAGTAGCAGCTTCAGAGCAAAGAAAACGTTACTCTTTATATAAACAATTTTGCCCCTGTATTATTTTCGCCTTCTTGTTCCTAATAGTCAGTGACCGAATTGAAAAGTGGGTTATTCAACAAAGTTATAGTATAGTTAGCTATGTCCCTTTTAAAACAAGTACCTCGGTGAAATTTAAACGGGGCGAAATCGTTTTAAGTGTTACAGAGGGTAAATAACAAAGGGCGAAAATAACCCCGTGTTTTAAATTTTGCTATCTCGTTCTCTTCTTCATCGCTGATTCTTTGTGTATGTTATTTAGGAAAAATCATTCTGCGATTATTGAACCAAAAATATTTAAATATTGTACTTTTAAAGTATTTAAACTTTCTACTCGATAGGGATACGCAAAATCAACGTTATGAGGCGTGAAACAGAAGTAATGGAAAGTTACTAACCATCAAAGTTTTAAGGTTCATGGATGCAAGCTTATATTGGATCTAAAAGAAATTTTATCATATCACATAATGGATGTTTTTTGCTGGTGTTAGAGGTATGTGAAAATTCTTCCATAATTCTTAATTTAAACAAAATACATATTGTGGATAATCATTTTTTCTAAAATTATCATCAGCATGCAATCAATTACTTGCTTTTAAAATCAGTAAACGATTTTAACTGGAAATCAAGTCTTAGCAAATTCCTAAAAGGAGACATCAGACATTTCTGCAAACAAGAGCCTGCTGTCATAATGTTTTAATTAGATTGTTTTGAAAACCACAGTAAGAAACAAATGATGAGTGAAGAATCAAAAAGTAATGCCAAAAAAAAAAAATAATTATTTTATTTGCCCGTATTTTCCCCATTTCTGTTAATCAGTACTGTTATCTTTGGATTTTTTTTTCTGAGAGTAAATGACAGTTTTCATATGTTGAAAGTGATAGATCCCACTCCGAAAAAAAAATTCATTAGTCTACAGAGAGTCCTTAAAGCCAAAAAAGGTTCCGACTTTGCAAATTTTAAACACATTAGAAACAATTTCAACAGTATAATAAAAAAGGCGAAAATTACAACACACCTCACAGATATGTTTCAACTTTATTTGAAATTATGTTTTCAAAACCAAAGTTGCCTCTGATAAATCATATTACAATATACATCAGAAACTGATGTAAATACTTAAGGACAGATTATGCAAAGACCATTTTGTCAAAAATATTGAAAATAAAAACTTAAGTCATGTTCAAAGGAGTAAAACAAATAACTTTAACCGAGTAGATTTTCATTTTTGATTCAAAGTTTTACAATAACTGGATTGAAGGTGACGAAAATGTGTTTAGATTGATTAGGGTGGTTGCAGAAAGGTTGAATTTTGAACATCATGGAAAGTTTTCTTAATATTTTAGAAATTTATTATATGCACCAAGATAGGTCCAAAAATATATACCAATCCAGGTATCCATTTTTTGTTTGTATCATCTGTCCTTAATACCTATTTTACTTCTGTTTCATCTTGATAACAGGCTGGTAGAAAAAAATGTGTACACAAACATTTGTTTACCTTATATGGCTATTGTTATCATTGTGCACGGCCGAGCTTACCACGAACAATTGTCCAATTAGTGACTGAATAGAGGAGTATGTTGGCCTGCTACATGTTTACATTGTACTTCTAAAAGGTGGTTCAGGTCAATCTACGATGCGATATTTAATTGACTGGAAAAAAAAAAGAAAACATTTGTTTTTGTTTTGTTGTTGCTTTTTGTTGTTGTTGTTGTTGTTGTTGTTGTTGTTGTTGTGTGTGTGTGTGTGTGTGTGTGTGTGTGTGTTTTGGTTGTTGTTGATTTTTTTTAATGCAAGGATTAGAAATTATGAAACATGTCCCCGGTCGTGCTCTAAATAAGAAAGATAGGAAAATGAAGGACATGACTTTCACCTAATAACTTGATATTGGTGTATGTAATTTGTTGTCACTAATTGTTGACTGGAAATTCAAAGATATACAATATACATAATAAAAGGTAGTCTGTGTCAAGTTCAGAATATTTTCTAATTTATTTAAAGAACACCAGCGCTTTATCGATACGGAGAACGAGCAGTATCTCTTTGGCATTTAAATGGCCAATAAAGGATTTTTTTACATTACAATACGCGGGAAACGTGTGTTTTGTCTTTGGATAGGGAATCCACCTGACATTTGTATTCACCGAAAGGCAGACGCAAATCGCAGTATAGCTTTGAGAAAGTTAATTTAACAATTGTTTGTAAATATGAACATGGAAATAATAGATAATGATAGACATACTGTATTTCATCTATGAAATGCATGAACAAACGGTCATGGTTCTTTTTTTTTTTTTTTTTTGATTGCTATGGATTTGGTCTTTTCCAAGGTAAAATTCCTGCAGTATTCATAGTAACCCGTTATGCAATTCAATTCATCCAGCTGATTTGTCGGTTTTAAGTCACGTTGATACCTCATTTAGCATGAAAATGTAGTCTGCCGCCAGAAAATATAGTTCCCATGAAAGCATGTTTGTCAAAAGAGAAATTTTAATACATAACTGCAGAAAAAAATGCCAAAAGGAATACTTATTAATGAAGTTGAATGAATTTTAGACATATTGAAGTGCATTTCCATTGAGATTATGCAAATACTGAAACGTAACATAACTTTTCTGCTTAAGATGTTTAAATGTGCTAGTCACTTCTTAGCTATACTTCCGTGAATAATTTACCTTATTCATTAACAGTCTTGCTGTAGTCTCACGAAATCTCGCCAGAGCTTCTGTGAACTCCTCGGGTATTATAATTTGCAGAACATCGAAAAATAAAAAGGTTCCGAACACATGTTTAGGGGTGTATAGACCAATTTCATTGTTAAGGTGTGTTGGAAAAATTATGGAACGAGTCGTATTCAGGTATATTTAAGGAATTTTTTTTAAAGTTTTGTGTGAATTATTGGTGCATAAATCACACAGGCTTGTCACGTAGGCATATTTTAAGAAGCGCGCTATTTTAGATACACATGCTTTATTATAGAGGTTAGAATCATTGAGTTGCAAAGAACAGATGAATTTTCTCTATTGTTCAAAATTGTATCAATCATTCTGTTAGATTTAGCCGTTTATGTTAAAATTTATTAATGACACACTTAAAATACATTTATGTATAAAATGCATTGATCTGAAAACATTTATTTAGTATATTTCATATTATGTAATTAACTGTAACTAAACTTTTAATAAAATTGTAGTGAAAAGGTGTTATAAATTTTAAAAATCTGTTCTCAATCCATTTTTATTCATAATAACAATAAAATGCATGTATTTTCATATCACATCAATTTCATTTTCTTGCCCTAATAAGGTCTGGGCAGTACTAACGTTATGATCCAAATACTGTAAACGTGTTACATTTGGCTGTGTATTCTTTTTAATATTTCAAAATTTTAAAATAAATAAAATAAATAAATAATAATAATAATAAAAAATAACATAAAAACTCCAAAACGAGATGTTCCATGTAAGATCCCACAAGAATCACTTTATATCATTTTGAGAAAATGTGACTCGCATTATTTCAATTTAACATTGGAACTTTAATAGGCACATTCCAAAAGTTTCTTAGAAGGGTAGTACGGCTCAGATTGTAATTATCATTCAAATAATAGAGGGAAGTCCCTTATAATAAAAGTGAAAAAGAAAAATAGAATAGTTAAAGGCTTTTGTTGGAAATGGAAGACACTAAATACCGTGACGATTCTTAAGATGACAGCAAGGTCATTTCCGACCACCCAGTGTATATGTTCATTACAATAGAAAAGAGAGAAAACATTATGACATGAAGTGACATTATTCATCAAAGCAAAATGAAGCCTTATCATCAACATTCTTTATGCTTGTTATTTTCCATTCTGAAAACCTTTGTGTTCAATTGAATAACAGTGGTGCATAAATGGCTGTGCCAGTCAGGCGTATTGCACAATTTTAAAGAAAAATGCATTTATTTCTCATATGCAATAAAGATTTATCAAGTCAATGTATTTTGAAATAATTTATTCTCTTTTTGGCGATGTTCTCACGATCAATATACCCCCCTTTATATTTTAGTGAAATACAAATACGCACACGTCACGTCCAGGTGATCATGAAGAATTACCATCAGAGGAAATCTCAGATATATTCTCCTGATTGTGCAAGTTATGCAAAGAAAAGAGCAACATTTTAATACAGATGCTTAGAAAGAAAACACGTACGTAGCTGCTCTCATACTAGACAAGTGATTGTCATCAAAACAATACGTGCTACGCCTAATACTGTGTACTACATATATGCCAGGTTCTTAAATATACCAGATAATTCGCTATAAAACAAGCTGGTAATTAAGGTCTTCTGTCTTCTATGGAAGACGTTCTTGTTATTCTTAAGTTTCTTTTTCACTTTTATTTTTATTGAGATCTTCCGTCTTCAGCGGAAGACCTTTTTATTATTCTTAGGTTTCTCTTCCACTATATTTATTATTATTGTTTTTTGTTCTTACCGATTTCGTGCACGCGATTTCTCGGAAACGGCTTGCTCGATTTTCATGAAACTTTCAGGTCTGATAGAACGTCAGAAAATCTAGATATATATATTTTTTTATTTTGATGACGTCACTTTCGGTTTGGACATTTCCGCGATTAAGTGATTTTCGGAGGGTCACTTTGTCCGAGCTTTTTCTCGAAAAACCACTAAATACAGAAGCATAATTTCAGTGACGATAAAGCTACATACATGTATGTAGAAGTGAATTTTGTATTTCATTAGCACCGGAAGTACGAAACGCCGATACTCGCTATGGACCTAAAAAAGTCATATCGAGAATTTCAGAATTTCTATCATTTTTTTTTCAGTATCTCTTTACCTGTAAATGTTTTGTAAAAACATATAGAACAAAATTAGTGCAAAATTACAAGATCTTTCCATCGATATCATAGAAAAGGGGCTGGCCCCTAAAATAAGGGGTCTAAAGGGGCCGAAATATTTTTCTTGATATCTCAAAAAGTATTGAGAATTTGTAATATATCAAAGAAGCATGTTGTTCAAAATGACAAGTAACAGCTAGTGGGGCCGTCAAAAGACGTCGAATGACGTTACTTCCAGCCAAACAGGAAGTAGTCAAAAAATGCTTATTTTCACAGATATTGGCATGGAATTGAATTAATAATATTACAGAGGATGTCCACCCGTATTTTCCAATAAGTATCGTCACTTTCGTTTACTTCCGGTTAAGCCGAGTTTTCAAACTCAAAAGTCCACTCAACAAATACACCAATACAAATAAGGAGCAGATCAACCACGGACCTCTAAAACATCAAGATGTGATCAGGTGCCATGAAGGAGTGAGCTTCCCCTGCCGACAGGTCGGGATCGGGAAAACGAAAAAATCTGTAAACAATTCAGTGTGTTTGTTTGTTTATTGTTTAATGCCCCTCTTGAGAATTTTTTACTCATATTACTTTTTTTTTGCAGATATTGACAGAAAATTAAGGTATTCCATCCCCAATAGCCTCAGACTAAATGAATCTGAATACATAACAGATGTGTAAGGGTGGAATATCCAGTATATTTAGACAAAATTCCCATTTATTACTATCAGCATGTAAGAATGGAACGTGTCCTAATTTGTGACCTTGACCTTTCTTGACGAGTTATTCCCTCTTTTTCTTAAATGATAAAAATCAATTTAAAAAAAAAAATATACGGTAAAAAAAAAATGTTTTCAATTGTCATTCTATTTTTAACGATTTAATGCATCTTTCCTCCGCAGTATTTTACGATATTCTTATTATTTGATTTTTTTATTTTAAAAATAAATTGCTTGTCTCCATATAGACTTCAATGCAATTTCTGTTAATTAATTACTGCTTAGATAATTACAATTTTGAAACTTTCTCTTGGTAAATCCTTTTCTACTGTAAAATACTGTAAAATGTGAAATAATATCAGAGTATTATATACGTGATGGATATTTAAGGATAGAGAATTAGGTCCTATTAGGGATGGAAAACCTTAAATGACTAACATGACTATCAACCTCATTTTCTGTGGGTTGGCGTCACTTCTCACGTATTGTCAATTAACAATGGCTATTTTCATATTTATGTCGATAAGATATATCCTGGTGAACTTGAGATAAAAGATACCACAGAGTCTGACACATCTGTTTCATATTTGGATATTTTACTTGAAAAAGACATTAATGGTAATCTAACAACCAAGCTTTATGATAAACGTGATGACTTTAACTTTTCAATCGTCAACTTCCCTTACTTATGCAGCAATATACCTTCATCACCTGAATACGGGGTATATATCTCTCAGTTGATTCGATACGCAAGAGCATGCTCTACGTATGTACAATTTCTAAAACGAGGTAAATTATTGACAAATAAGTTGATGATATCAGCTGTCTCGTTTAAAGTCATCATTTCGTAAGTTCTCTGGTCGATACAATGACCTTGTCAGCAAATACAATTTATCATTGAGTCAAATGCTGACTGACGTTTTTCATACTAATTGTTAGGCCATTATTTACACACTGAATTGTCGACGAATTTTTCCGTTATTTCCCGATCATGACAAGGAGCACACGGCGGGTGTGACCGGTCGGCAGGGGATGCTCACTCCTCCATGGCACCTGATCCCACCTCTGATGTTTGGAGGTCCGTGTTTGCTCTGCTCCTATTTTGTATTGTATAATGGACTTTTGAGCTTGAATACTGTTCGTTATCTCCATATATTTCATTCTCATCAATCCAGAAGTAGTTATGAATTGCTTAATATGACGTATATCATCGTAGATTGCAATAGTACATATATATATATATATATATATATATATATATATATATATATATATATATAAACAGATCAACATCATTTTTGGTCTAGTGGCCTTCTTTATGATGAATGGCTTACCCTCCATTATTTTTTTTTACAAGCAGTGATACTTACTCTGTGATAATCTACTCGTTGCTTTACAACGAGCTTTGCTCTACGTATTATTGTTTTTTTCTTACCGATTTTGTGCGCGCGATTTCTCGAAATTGGGTCGATGGATTTCCGTGAAACTTTCAGAACTTATGTATCATCATTTGAACCTTATTCATTTTGATATTCTGTTTTGATTATGTCACTTCCGGTTCGGAGATATTGTCGATTTAATGAATTTTGAAGGGTCGGGTTGTCCTGAAATTTTCTTATGAATGGTTCTAGATAGAATCATGAAACTTTTAGGTATGATATACCTATGTCTGCAGATATGCGTAATGTATTTCATTTTTACCGGAAATGCCGCACGTCGGCGCTCGCTATGGTCCGAAAAAAGGAATATCGAAAATTTCAACGCTTTTTCTACAATAGCTTTTCACCTGTAATTAATTTGTTAAAACGTGTAGAACATAATTTGTATAAAAAAAAAATAAAAAAAATAAAAAAAAAAAAAACTACAAGACCTTTCATCCACTATCAACAAAAAGGGGCTGTCCCCTAAAATAAAGGACCGAAAGTTTTTTTTTTTCTCAGTTTATCAAAAACGCGCGAAGATTTGTCATACATATTGAAGCAAAATTGTTCAAAATAACTAGGTGCAGCTGGTGGGATCATCAAAAGTCGTCAAATGACGTCCTTTCCGGTAAAACAGGAAGTAGTCAGAAATGCATATTTTTTAAGTTTGGGACACGTTCATGTGTGTTTTGAGTCATCGGAAGCGTCCAAACTCATTTTAGGCCGATCGATGTCACTTCCGGTTAAACCGTAAGTAGTCAGAAAAGGCTTATTTTTGTAGGTATTGGCAGATAATTGAATGATTAAAGTCATTGGAGATGTCCGATATATATATATATATATATATATATATATATATATATATATATATATATATATATATATATATATATATATATATATATATATATATATATAAATTAAAATAAAATCCAAGATAAACAAACAAGTTCACATTTAATTATTACACTAAGCGCTTTCGCCGTGAGGCTCTTCAGAGTGTAACAAAGTTTATAAAAACAATACAACTTGGTTGTTATGACGTCGTTATTGTGACGTCATAAAGGCAGCATTATATATTGGCGCAGGTAAATGTTATAAAGGAAGCAGATAAAGGGGGAGCAATTGTCATTATGGATATGGATCATTACAGAGAAATGGTTTTAGACCAACTTATGGACACCAACTTTTACAAAGAATTAGTTTCTAATGAGGACAGTAAAACCATATGCAAGATTAAGAAATTAACTTCTAAATTTGCGGATAATTTAACCGTGAAAGAAGTGGATTATTTAACAAATTTCGAAAATAAATCTAGTAATTTTTATGGTTTACCAAAGATCCACAAATCCAAAGAAATACAGGACGGACTCGAAGGTAAAAACGCTTTATATATAAAATTACCTCGACCAACAGATTTAAAGCTTAGACCAATTGTAGCTGGCCCTGCATGCCCCACGCACAGAATTAGTAACTTGTTGGATATACTTCTAAAACCTCTATGCCAACTTGTACCAAGTTATGTAAGGGATGATATGGATTTTCTTGGCCACATCCCAGATACAGTTGAAATAAATACAGAGATGGTTAGTTTTGATGTAACGAGCCTCTATACTAACATACCACATACACTTGGACTGGAAGCAATCGCTTTTTGGATCGATAAATACCGCAGTGAAATAAATGAAAGATTTTCCAAAGACTTTATCCTAGAAGGATTAAAAATAGTATTAGAAAATAACCATTTTGTTTTTGACAGCAGAAATTTTCTACAAATAAAAGGAACAGCGATGGGCACAAAAGTTGCCCCAACCTATGCCACCCTAGTACTTGGGTTTTTAGAAGAAAAATTGATCAGTGAAACAGACAGAAGATTTGGAAATCAGTTTGCCCAATATATACGCTTTAATTGGAAGCGATATTTAGATGATTGTTCCATTTTCTGGAACAGATCTAATGAAGATTTACAAGAATGTCATTCAATTCTTAACAATCTACACCCGTCTATTAAATTTACGGTGGAAAAAAGCGGATTGGAACTACCTTTTTTAGATATCCTTATAATTAAGGAGGGTCGTAAAATCATAACAGATTTATACTACAAGAAAACGGATTCCCACCAATACCTTGTATTTAATTCCTGCCATCCTTCACACGTAAAACGTAACATACCTTTTAATATGGCAAGACGTGTTTGTACCATTG